TGGTGCAGTCTGGTCCTAGCGGTATCAGAACTTTTAAGCGTTCTAGACACAGGCGGAGGTGAGCTCGGCTGCAAGGGGAGAAGAGGAGGATCAGAGCTATGCTTTCAGAAAGGGACTGTCATTCTCTTCTCTACTTCCCTCCTACGAGGCAGTTTTCATGTTTCCCTCTTTCCACACATCCCAAGATTCCCCACAGGTACCAGGACAGACTGCCACTAAACTATTTACACTGCAAACATCAGCTGCTCACCAATACCAGCATTATTGTTAACCTCTGACAGATGCTGTTTATTTTCTTGCTGTCTGAACTGATAATCTGACTCATCTGGATGAACTTTGTGCAGGGGCAAGGCACACAGGCAAATGGTACAAGTATCTCGTGGGTTTCCTCTCTCTCAGCTATTTGCTGTCTGTTTTGCTGAGAAGAACTTTTGTGAAAGCAGTTTCGAATGACTGCTACCCCCTGCACACTTGTGCATTGCTGGATCTAAGCACTGTCTTTTTGCACAAAATTAAGATCAGTGAGAAAAATGGTCAGCCCCAAACCCCCAAATCCCTGCTGGCAGTTAAAGGAGCTGGAGGGATGGCAGTTCCCAAGAACTGCCCTCTTACTCCTTCCTGGGTCCAGGTCTGAAATGCTGCTGGGGGTGCAAGGTCTGTGGGAACAAGAGAACCCAAGACCTTCCCCTGGGCTGTCTTCTGACCTTGGCTCACGTCTACAAAGACAGGCTCAAGCACAACAGTGTTGCTGATGATATGAGCCATTTTCTGCAGAATATGGAAAGATCTTCTGGGGAAAATGGTTCAGGCAGCAGTGGCAAAGCACATCATCCTCGGGCTGCACAGGAAAACTGTTCCCGCTGTCTCCTACTCTGTATCACGTATGCAGGAATGAACAGCAGATTTATGGAAAACTATCAAGTGTGGGTTGCCTTTTTCCCCTCCTTCTCTCTTTCCCAGACATTAATGATTTATGTCCAAACTTGTCATCCCAATCAATAACACAATGACATCAGCTCCACCATTCACATGGAAGAAACACCGGTGTAAAAGAGTCCTGAAAGCCTACCCCACCCTCACAGCCAGCTCATGCACAAAGAAACTGAATCTTAGCCTGATCCATCTCAATGCAGGGGAAAGGGGAAAAAAAAAAAAAAGGAGAAAAAAAAAGGGCCGGGCCGTTTCTTTCCATTTGTTTTCACATGGAAGAAACACCGGTGTAAAAGAGTCCTGAAAGCCTACCCCACCCTCACAGCCAGCTCATGCACAAAGAAACTGAATCTTAGCCTGATCCATCCCAATGGAGGGGAAAGGGGAAAAAAAAAAAAAAGGAGAAAAAAAAAGAGCACGGACAGTTCATTTCCATTTGTTTTTCAAATTCACTATTGCGCCCAGTTTGAAAGGGGTGGGGGAGAGGAGTCTGTAATCAGGCAATTATGTCAGTGACAAGCAAGGATGATTAAGGGTGGAAGGGTCAGGGGTTTTGCTGATGAACTGTCAGCGCAGGGGAGTGTTCACTAGCGGTGCTGTAGCTGTGAGCTCCTTACTGTTTCTATTATAAATCTCGTTACAAAGGGTCCATCATTCTGTCTCAAGAACAGCCACAGGGCTGCATATGACCAGCAAGGGCCTTGAAGAACACGTGTTTTTCATTAAATATTAACAACTGGACGGGTGGGGAAAGGGTAATCATAATCCAAAAATCAAACTGAAAAAATAGTAATCACATCAATCTCATCTTTTACTTCTCAGCTTGCTCTAGGGCAAGCCCGCTGACATTAAACCCATATGACTGACATGGGGGAATTTCTTCTACCTGGAAGCCCATTTTCAACGTAGAGCTTGATCAACAGGAGTTGTGTGCACCTACTACAGGCGTTTGCCCAATATCCCATGATGACCTGTAGAGCCAGCAATGAAAAAGCATTGCTGGTTCACACTGGCACTATAGTTCACGTCATCCCACGGGAGACTGGACACTGCCTTCTTGCAGCTAGAGAAAGGAAGAGGCGGAGGATCTTGTGGTTAAAGACATTCTGGGTTTTGAACCCATTTTTAGCTATGCCACAGATTTGCTCAACAGCCACAGAGGCAAGTCACCGAGTCAGAGCTGTCAGAGCACAGCCATCAAGCTGCAGCACAGAGCAGCACGCCTCTCTTCACGGCGCGAGTACGAGCACCAGCCATACACTTCACCTACGCAATCAGCCCAAGTTATAAATGCAGCTCAAGCGGAGCTAAAGATGTGTGCACAGATCTGGGGGCTGAGGTTCCACCTAGCAGGGGACTTGCTACATAGCACCTGCTACAGGTAGGGACTGCAGACTCCCCCCTGCCTTGCTGGGCAAGGGCAGCTCCCAGCCCGTGCTGAAAACTGAATTATTTGTGCAACAGAAAACAAAAAGTTTGGGGAATCAACATCTAACCAGCATCAAACGTATCACAGTCCCCTCCTAAATGCAGAGAGAAATGGATGACGCATCTACAGCCTGAGCTTTGGGCTGAGTCTCAGCACTGGAGGTTTTACCAGGAACCGGGGAAGGCGCTGCACCAGGAACTGCGATTCCTGGAACCAGCCATCAGCTGCGGGCAGAAGCAAGCACTGGCTGGATTGCTGAGACAGCGGTTAAAAGGATGGCACTGATCTGCCACGTCAAAAGCTAGGTTATGTGCAGGCTCGATGAGATCAACTGTGTTAAGCACCTGAAAGCTATATGCAAAAATCCACCCAGGTAATAAAACCCTGGACACTGAAACACTTCCCGTTGTGCCCCAGGACCACGGTGGATCGAAGGTTACCATGTCCTGCAGGCCCTGACAAGGGCAGGGAGAGGACAAAGCAGTCAGAGGGTCTGTCCTCGTGAGGACGCTGGAAAAGCTGGCAGAAAGTTACCTCCCCAGCATGTGTGGCCCCAAAGGGGACATTCCCCCAGTTCTGGATCCCCACATTGGCTCCCGAAGCCCAGAAGATTGGCCCAGGCTCACGCAGACGGTTTTCCGAGAAGCCACTCCTGCCAGTGGCTCTGCTGGCCGGTCGCCAAAGGCCATGGGCTGCAGCAGGGGCGATGGCCTCTGCCGGCACACCAGGCATCAGGAGGGGACACCTGCCTGTGACACAGGGTGTGAGCGCGAGCCGATAAGCTCACGACGGCACACAGCGCGGCTCGGGCAGCGAGCATGCTGCAGGGGCAGGTGGCGTTGGCCAAGCTGAGGCAGGTTTGGAAGGGGTTTGACCAAAGCAATCACTTCTGTGCTGCTGTTGGATTTTCCCCTTATTTTGCACTCAGAGCTGAGCCACACTGAGTTTTGATGCCACTGCAAACGTAAGTGCATTGTATCTCCAACCACAGCCTAACCGAGGGAAATGCGCAAGGCTTTACCTTAGCATACAGCAGAGGGCCAGCCTCGGCGTCCAGGCTGGTGCAGACCGGGGACAGCCAGGCCCTTCAGCCCCAGCAGTCACCTCCCGCTGCTGGGGACGACACTGGCAGAGCTGCTCGGGAGCTCCCTGGCCCAGCACAGCTGGGATAGCAGAGAGCAACCAAGCCTGCAAACTGTCCTGGCACACGAGTGTGTTGCTTTCCTTCAGAGAGATCAAATCAAAGAGCTTCCCCAGCTCTCTCCCCTCCACAGTGTTCAATACCTTGCCTTTTTACTTTTAAAATCTAACCTGGTCACAGTCCCTGACCTCTCTCAACTTCCAACAACCCCAAGCAGACCACGAGGGGTTCTTAAACCACAGAGCACACAGGCAGGTCTGACACACTGATGAGTGGCTTCAGTAAAACCCAGAAATAAAACTCCAGAGCTCAAAAGCATCACAGCAAACTAGCTAAAAGAGCATTTCAGAGAGAAAGCAATCACAAACCTATTAGTCTTTCTTATCAAGTCCTGGAGCTGTACCTGGACTGCTGTAATCCCACGGGTCAGCCATGACATGGATGTCTTTTCCCCTTGTTTACCTGGACTCTGCTGCAACGTGGCTTTGACAACGCTGCAGGCTCTTGTATTCAATGAAAATACCAGCATTGTACAGGCTCCAGACGGAGCCAGACGGCTTTCCATGTAAACCACTGGATTATGCCAATATTTGACGCATCTGCCAATATCTAGAAAAACAAGTCTAAATGCCCATATTGTTATATAACAGAGAAACAACTTGGGCTTGGCGCGAAGGGCTGCTGCCTCTCGCTGCCTTGATCGCAGGGAAGACAGAGGATGACAGAAGGAGAGTTCCAGTTTCAGCTGAGGCTGAAGCCTTTGCATGCTAGCTGCAGGGGAGACGGGAGAAGCTGGAGCCCTTTCTCCTGCCTAAGTGGCCTTGGAAAACATCAGGCTCTCACAGCAGCATCCTGAGCACACGGTAGGTGCTGTATGTGCTGAAGAAGGAATCCATGGAGGATTTGAAAGGAGGAGGCTCTCCTCTTTCCCAGGGGATCAGCCTGGTGCCCCCCTCCTGCTCAGCCTGATAAGCAGGAAGACTCCTGTTTGAGACTCCCATGTGGGGCATCAGGGTTGCCAGAAAAGCAGCAAAGCACCCGAGAGGCTTTGGAAAACCAGAGCCTAGCATGCACCTCTTTGTCCCAAAGAGCTGAGGACAACCTTTTATCCTGTTCCACCTGGCAACTCTGGCTAGGACAGAGCCCCTCTGCTGCTTCTGCTTCCTCCCCTGTGTGGTGCCAGGAGAAGCCTAGAAGCAAGTTCCTCTGGGATGTGGAGGGCAAGCAGAACGAGGATGCCCTCCCTTCTCTGCCAGGAGCAGCTGTGGAAAAAGGCATGTCAGTCTCTAAACAGATGGGCCAGGAGACTGAAGCAGAAGAGGGGCGAGCAAGGCCAGCAGCCCCATAGCCTCCCAGCTAATCCACAACAAGCTATAGGTGGCTGCATGTGAAAGAAGGGGGTGCTGGCCCCTGAAATGGCAGCCCCACTGCTAGGGGCACATGCTGTTCTCCCCCCTTTCACTTTGTGCCTGCGCGAGAGCTTCTGACTGTATTTGGATTAGCTACTCCTACCCCCCCAGCTCCCCTCCGAGCCTGAGCCCCCAAGCCCTCCGTCCTGAGCCTCTGTC